AACTGGAAAGACAGCTAAAAGAAACTCTCCGCAGATCAACAATACATCTAGTATAGAACTCGGAACACCCTTGATTAGTTCGTAAGTAAGAAAGAGCACAAGAACTTGCTAAACATGTCAAAAAGTGCAATCGAGAAAACAACTCTGAAAATAAAAGTGAGAAAAAGAACATTAGTGAACAGTTAGTCCAGTTAAAGAAAGAGTTAGAAGAAAATTTCAAAGTTCTTAATTATGAACAACTCAAAGATTTTCTAGAAGTTACGTACGGAACTAGTAAGGCACTACAAATATCTCTTAATTATACTAAGGAAACTGATAAACTGATTGCATTGCTCAGAGATATGTACCCGTTACTAGTGGATAGAGGCATGAAGTCCGTTTTACGAGAATCATGAAGAGGTTGAAGATCCGGTGGCGTCTGATTCCTCAAGAGCATCTTCGGAGAACGAATGTTTATCAAGTGAAGAAGAATAATGAAAAGCAAAATTCTGCAATGGAACGTGAACGGCTTCCGGACACAATACGAGTTCTTCAAAAACTTCAAAAATGAGAACTTCGATATTGTCTACTAATACAAGAATATAATTTTAAAATAACCATTATAACCATATCAAAGGTTTCAAGTGTTACTACAAAAATAGATCGTCATGTGTGAATGCTAGTGGTGTGGAATTTACGTTCGCGAATCGTTTGTAAGCAGTGAAGTGCAAATAACAAGTGATCTTGAAGTAGTTGGTGTATTCATAAATATAGGATCTAGAAACATCATATTGTGCAATATATACATCCCAAGGTCATTTCAACTGCGTAGTTGTGAACTTGTAAGTCTAATTCAACAAGTTAATAAACCATTAATTTACTTGTGATTTTAATTGTCACATAGTGCAATGGGGCTCAGTAAGAACGGATATCAGGGGAAAATAGTAGGTTATTGTTTTGAGAAAGAAGACTTGTGTTATTAAATGATGAAATTAAGCCTACATATTTCAACGTGGCAGCAGGAAATGTAAGTACTATCGATCTAAGTATGTGTACGCGCGAATCTAGTAAGATACTTACAATGAACTTTCCGATGACTATTCAACAGTGACCATTATCCTATCACCGTGAACCTTCGAAGATACATCGGAACATGAGGTTATTTACGAGCCGCGATGGATTCTCTCAAAAGCAAATTGGAGCCTATATCAGCGAAAATAAACATTTAAATAGTAACGATGATTTTGACTTAAATTAAATAGATGCAATCTTAGACAGCTTTGAAGAAATAATTATGACCACCGCTGTGGAAAACCATTCCGAAAACTACTGGTAAATAGGTAAAAGGACGTTACCGTAGTGGTCTAAAGACTGTGAGGAGGCTGTTAGAAATACATAATTTGTTTAATGTATATAAGAGGCATAAAACGGATGCAAACAAAATCCGATTCAAATCTGGCCAGAGCAAAGCAAGGAAAATATAAAAGAATCCAAAGAAATTGTTGGAGGGAATTTATTTCATCAATTAATTACAAAATGAATAGAACAGAAGCCTGGAAAAGAATCAACGCCATAAATGGAAAATACAAATGTACCAGCATTACTTCCCTCTACACTTCGACGGTACCAACTTCATGATTCTTGGGATATTGCAAAGAGCTTTGGGGCTTTATTTCATCAAACTCTAGTGAACAGAATTATGATAATGCTTTCATTAAATATAAGATATTGAGAAAATTAAACCCGATCTTGAAGAAAGAAGCACAGTAGATAATGATATTCAACATCTAAACGCACCCATCACACCAAGAGAATGTATGAAGCAATGCATAAACTTAAAAACACCAGTGCCGGCCCTGATGGAATCCCCAATATATTCATCAAGAAGATGCTCTCTCGCCATAAAGTACCTGGTGCATATATTTAATACGATCTATATTCACAATGTATTCCCTAAAAAGTGCTCTGAAGCTATTATTGTGCAACATCCACACACACAGGGAAAAATAAATCCTGATAAGCACTATAGGCCTATTGCATTAACATGTTGCCTTTGTAAACTTCTAGAACAAATAGTGAATCAGAGATTAGGTGGTACGTGATTCAACAATGGACTGTCTAGCATCAATAGAAAACAGCATATACAACGGTTTTGCTAATAATATGAAACCTTAGTTGTAAGCTTAGACATTGAAAAAGCCTATGAGATGGTGTGGAGAAGACGGATAGTGAATTTAATAACGTCGGCCAAGATTAAAGGCAATATTAGCAAGTTCATTTACAATTTCCTAAAGAACGCTTTATCAAGATTAGAATAAATGGAATCCGTGTCGGACAGCTATAAAGTTATGGCGTCAAACAGGGGGCAGTACTTAGTGTTACTCTATTCTTACTATTATTTAATGACCTAGAACAATATTAAACCTCCAGCATCATCAATATGTATGCGGATCATAGCAATATTAGCATAACTGGCAAAGATATTAAATCATTAGAAGAAAAGGCTCAAAACATCTTAGATGCAGTCATGGAATTTTCAAGAAAACCGGGCTCAAGATTTCCAAGACAATTCCACTTTCATAGTTTTTTCTAAAAACGATTCATAGAAGAAACATTGAACTAAATTAGGACAGCATAAATGGGTACAATAGTAAGGGAAATTAAAATCTTAGGATGATTTAGACGAAAAGATGACATGATTACGCACGTCAGAATTTAAAGAATGAGTGCACCAAAATAATGAGAATTGTCAAAGCCATAGCCATAATCCTGGGAGCGGACTATACGATTATAATGAGAATTTATCAGGCAATCGTCAGATCAAAATTGGACTATGGCTGTCTACTATATGATGCGGCCAAAAAGAACATCAAGAGAATGTTAGATCCTATAATAATACGGGAGAAGACTGACGTGTGGTTCTTTCAAGACCAGCCAACAATGAGCTATTTTGTGTGAAGCAGATTTATTATCATTAAAAAACGTAGAAGAAACTAATATTGGGGTATACGATTTAAAGTGCAGCCAACAAGCTGAATCCAATAAATAAAGTGTTCGGCAATGCATACAAACATTGCAGAACATTAGCTATAAAAAGAAGCTCCGAGACCCTAGCAATAGAACAATTCATACACTAAAGAAGATACGAGAGAAACTACCATCCCTAAGATTACGACTGTACCTGACTTATGCCCCTGGAAATACGAGACATCAACGTTACTGAATTTGCGAATATCCCTAACAAGCAGACACTAATCATTGTAAAATTGGTGCTCAAATAAGAAATGAACTAGCAAATGTGATGGTTACAATACAATTTTAACTGATGGCTCAAAGAGTCTAAACAACATAGGTTGCGCAGTAATAGCTTCATGTGAGGTGATTCACCAAACAATTACGGATGACTTCTCAGTATATCCAGCGAATTATATGCCATAGCTGGCTCTTAAATTCATCACAAGGGCCAATCAAAAAGATTTATGATAAAAACAGACTCTAAAGTGCTGTATCTTGCTATAATGAATCTATCATATAATGTAATTGGTCGAAGAATAGTTAGAAAAATCAATCATTTGAATACTGAGGGTAAAGAAATAGCGTTGTGCTGGAATACCCTCGCACGTTGGCATTGCAGAAATGAATTGCAGATAGAAAAGCTAAAAGAAGCAGCGCGAAGCGAAGTTAGAAGTGATATACACAGTAAACTATCAGATAGAATACCTCAAAAGAGTCAAGAACAAATTAGCTGACCTCGACAGTAAAGAATGGAACAACTTACAGGGATGCAAATTAAGATCAGTTAGGAAACTTGAAGATGATAATCCAACGTTCAGTTTCTGCAGAAATGATCAGGTCGTCTTAACAAGAGTAGAATAGGACACACAAAATTTTCACACGGCTACTTACTGAACAGGACGGATGCTGATAACTGTAGTGTGTGCAAGATCCCTCTTTCAGCAGAACATTTGTTTGTTTGCCCTGAATATGAAAGTGCAAGAAACGAGTACAAACTAAGTTCTCTTAAAGATCTCAATAACAAAGAAGAGTGCATTAAATTCATTTGCTTTGTAAAGGAAATTGAAATGTATTACAATATATAACCATATATGTAAAATTCTAAGTTACTGTGTTATTTTGTGCTGATTGTGTAATTATTAAGGTAGTCGCTAATAACTATGTAGTTGATGCGACTATAAATAAATCAAATCAAATCAAAACAGTAACTCATCCTTATCTCTACTTCTACCACTACAAGCAAAAGGAGAGTTCAACTAAACGTGCGCATAGGGAATCGTAGTGTGATCGTGATCATTATCGTAGCGTGACTGCCATTGCCACCCCAAAATTATTTATTGATCTGAATGACTTTAAATGCCCCCTGGTGCTACTATTTACACATGTAGCAAGAAGAACTGGACGGTTATTCATCGAATCGCTGGAACACTTTAAAAGCCTTACTTGAGGATCCAGTACTGCTGGTCTTGGACATATTTAGGAGTCATATCATTTAGACGCCTACAATTATTGTAAACAAAATAAATACTGTTTGATGTACTAATGTATTCATTTTGCTTCATATTTATTTAGTGACTCTTAAATTTTGCATGTGAGGGTAATGGGAGTCAAATGCAAATCTTGGAAAATTCGATATTTGAGAGGGTTTCTGTGAATTTTTGATAATTTTTTGTTTAAGCTTAATAACTAATGCGTAATATAAAATCACATACTTTTTCATGGGAACAATTCGTACTAATTTATAATGAAAATACAAAAAGTGACCCTCATTATCATTACCCCCTCTGAGTGGCGTAACGTTCGGGACCGCAAGACCCCATTATGGGCGGGTCCCCTTAAACGAAGGCCTATTTTTGACGATATTTTTATTATTTGAAGTACTAACACTACTTGTGTTTGCTCTACACTTTTATAAAGGGGGCCAGGCAAAAGTTTTGAGCGGGCACGCACTTATTCCGTTACACTACTGTCCCCGCTACCCCTATTCCTTAACACGGCGATAAGCACCCGTCATCACAGTTTTTCTAGAATCTCGGCTGTTCCCGACCATACACATTGAGCGCCTCATTAATACAAAACATTAATACTATGAACATGTCAGGGAAACGGTGTATTGTTTTTGTGTGAGGCGTGAATGTGCTGGGTTTGTTAGAGTTGTTAGTTCTTTTCGTTGTGAAAAAAAATTGAAGGTGAATTGTAGTTTAGCTGAACCCAAAACTATTTGGTTCACTTACGATTGGAAATGAGCTTTTGATCTATTGAAAATGTTAAAAGATAAACACAAGGAACAAAACGAATGGACAAATTGTCCCTGTTATTAATTGAGAAAGAACTCTTGGAATCAATAGGAAATAAATAATTTCTACAACAGACATAAAATTTTGCAATTACAACACGACTGATGAGCTCTAAGTATTTTGCTATGTACGATGTTTAGGAATATTTATCTATTGAAATTCTTTTTTAATACCATCACTGACCTTAACATTTTCTGAGTTTAATAAAGCTCTGTGACGGGCAAGAAAGTTTTGGAGAAGTGAGCATGATTTAAACTCTGTGGAAGTGCAGTATCCGAGCAAGTTTCAAAATCACTGGCGTTTGTATTTATCACCTTCTCTGTCACTAAATAAATAAATTCTTGTAAAATTCTTTTCGATCTGCGATCAATCTCACGCGTTCTTCGAACGTGGTGAAGTATGTCAGTATTAGGTGACAAGAAATTGGAAAATGTAGTATCTTGTTCATGGGAAGTGTTGAATGAGAGAAGTCTGCAGGATGCCCTCACGTTGGAAACATGTGAAGTCAAAAGGAAGTGAGATGACTTTCTGATAACTTAAGAAAATCAAAAATGATGTTCAAGTGTTGTTTAATATATTTGTTTAATTTTGTAGGAGAAGCCTGGAATGTATGGTTAGTTTGGAAACCTGTGTTCATTTAGGATCTCAGAGTGACTCTGTTCCCTGTCAGTTGGAAATCAATGTAAAGAAAGAAAATCTGAGAATTACGGAAATTTCTATTGTTTCAGAGGTGCGTATTTATAAACATATTGCAATGAAATATTTGTCTTGAAATTTGTATTGTTACTTTTGCATGTTGTGTTAAATGTGCATTCATTTTAATCAATTTTGTTGGTTAGAAGTTGGTTAGGTTTTGTTGGTTCTGTGTTTGTTTTTGTAATGTTTATTTTGGTTTTTAATTAATATTGATCTTGTGTCAGACATCTTATTGGGTAATGATGTGAAACTGTCTAGTTCTAAGAAGACATAATTTCTCTAATCTGCTTTCATTTTGACTTACATTGCGAGATATTGTGTTATTGCACTAAGAATCCTGTATAATTGATGTGGTAAGCTTTAAGGATTGTATGAAATGGGTGCATTTTCATTACATTTACTGTGTGTGTGTGTGTGTGAATTATTAAAATAACTTGATATTTTAACATTGAATGTTAAATTATTTATTTATTCTAAAAAGGCATGTGCGATATATTGATGTTCTCATCACACATTCATACTTATATAATGTTGTAGGAGTTTTACAGTATTTTTAACCTACAATATAGTAATTAGAGGATTGATTTATGTGCTCTTAAAATCAATATTTGTGTGCCTTGAATTGGTGAAATACGAACAAATAATCTCAAATTATACTTACAAAAGGAGGATGTATTATCAGTAAATAACATAAAACAACTTCTTAAATTACTTTTACAGCTTATTTAGGGTCTCAGATTACCACATTGTACAGGGGCAACAGTTATCCCCTTTCCAATCTATTGTATCTGTCATTTTGCTTTGATAATAATTTTCCAGGAAATTTTGAAACAGCCATTATTTAATTATTATGAGTAGTATTATGCTGATTATTATTTTTAAATGGAATGTTAGTAAAAATGAGAGTATTGCACATATGTGCATGCTAACAACCTGCTGCTGCTGCTCTAATTTGTTGCCATCTATCTCTTCCAATATAACCATTTCCTTTGAACCGCCTTTGATGTATTTCTCCTATGTACCACTATCTTGATGTGCCGCACGGTGTAGAATTTTTTGACAGAAATCACCCTGAATTCATCTAAAACATGCCAATCAATCAAATGTGTTAAAAAGAGAATTCTAAACCAATTTTATTAAAAGTGATTTTATCTTATATTTGTTTGTTACATGCATAAAATAATTTCTGGCAGGTGATGGAAGGATGATTCTTTGAGTACATTTTTGTAGCAAAACACTTTGAAAGTTTTATTCTTCACCACCAGAGTGGCACTCCTTACTGTAATTATCAGCACTTATATAAATACTGAGTTTTCAATACTTTGAACTGAATTAGAATTATGTTCCCTTCAGTAAGTGTTTTTTTCCAAATTACCTCCTTTGCTGTGTGCCCAAACCTTTCAGACAACAGATCACAAAGTTACACATTGTTGTTCTCCAGATACAGCCACTATCAGCTTCCAATTAATGGAGCCAATAATCTGGTGCCATTTAATGATACTACTTAAAATTATTGCCTCTGACCAATACCCTGCTTTATTTGATACTCTCATGGCAGATTAGAAAGAACTTATTTCTTTATCAATCAGCAGCTAAGGTAATGAGTAAAGCAACAGTCTCCACAAAGTCAATCGTAATAAAATTGCATCAATATGCACAAGTTACTGAAATGCAGATCTATTGCCAATGTACTTTAAAACTCACATATTCTCTTCTTGTAGTCTGAAACATGTTTTCTTTTAAAAAGCATATAATTTGCTTGTGAGGAATAAAATATGCAATTACGATAAACTCCTAAACAGTAATCTTCCTAGTAATGAATACATACAATAGGTATTTTACAGCACAAATCATTTAAAAGTATTACTATTTAATGAAGACAGGATTTAGACATTATTTATTATTTTTCAAATTATGAATTGCCAATTAAATTTATTTTATTTATTTTTTATTTATTTATTTTGTAGGCACGTATTATTGAAATCTATGGGAAGTGTGGTGAATATCTGGCCACAAGTCATGCAGAATTTCTTGACGAGTGTGAGGATATGGTAGTTTACGTTGCAGATTACAAATTTCCTCAACCTACTCCAGAGTGTTCTCTGAAGGTATATTGTGTAGTTAATTCTTGTTTCAAACATGACTTAGCTTTTTACAAACTAAAACTATGAAAATAGATTTAGTTGGTGACAGTTCTCTTAAGTGCATGTTAAAATGTCAATGGAGTATCCAGAATTTAGTATGGTTTGTAGGAAAGACTTATCATACACTACAGTGTGCAGTAATGTGTCACTTATTGCTGGAATTTTGGGCAAATATCTTATTTTTATAAACCTGTGTGGAAACGTTATATAAAGTAAATTCTGGATGCTCTGTTGTGTGTTATTGGAATGTGGTAATAAAATAAAAGTAGCCTAGTTCTAGTTAATGTTCAATGGATATTTAAATTTCTGGACACTTTCACTTTATTTGTTCAATTAAGACCGTAACTAGAATTTTCAAAAATTGTTTCAATTGTTAGTTTCCTGATTGAGTGTTACTTGTATGCTACTATGAGCGGCCAGAGATGATATTGAATTCAGAGTCTCTGTAGCCATTTTTTTCTTCAAGTTTTATTCAGTGTCTCTTGTAAAATTATCCATTCAGGTCCATCAGCTGTTTTAAGTAAGATTTAGATCTGAGGTTCTCAAACTGGAACTCATACCTCCAGGGATATGCAGTAGGTTTGTAGGAGGTATGTGAAAAACTTCTTTGAGAGTATGTGAAGAAGAAATTAAACACTGAACTGAAGTCTGAGTCAGTCTGAAAATACTCTGGATTTTTGAATATGTGTGAATCTTCATTCTAATATGTGTGTACAAATATAAATACATTGTTTACTTGGTTGTAATTTTACTTAGTTGAATTTTTTTCTCATTCTTGTAATTATTTACAAGATCTGAATTTATTACATTATCTGAATTGATTACATTATCTGAATTTTAGGCAACACAGTAAACCCTGGTTATAGTGAGCATGTAGGGACTAACATTTTTGGTTCACTCAAGGTTCAATATATCTAATGATTTTAAATTTAAATAGAATTTCCCGACAATAATTAATTTTATTAATATAGAGACACAGCAAAATACATTAACAGCACAAACTGAAAATTTCTATAACTATATTTGACCTTACAAATAAATTATAATTCTATAAGACAATGGCTGCTCCAGTTCTCCTGTATGGAAGTGAATCATGGATAATGAAAAAAAAGAGACCAAAGTAAACTCCAAGCAGCAGAAATGAGATTTCTTAGGAAAGTTAAAGGCTGCATTAAACAAGACCAGATAAGAAATGAGGATATTCGTAAAGAACAAGATATATACAACATAAATGAAAGGATCTTAGAAAACAGGAAAGTATGGTGGTGCCGTATTGAAAGAATGGAGGAAGATCGTATTCCAGAATTAGTGATGAACTACCAACCGAAGGTAAGAAGAGATATCGGCCAACCCAAAAAGAGATGGTCCTGAAGTGCAAAGTGAAGACGGAACAGGCATTCCTGCATAATCCTTGAAATGGGGAAGAAGAAGAACAACAAATAAATTATTTTGAATTTTTTGCTTTGTACATTTTTCATTAATAATTTCTCTAGATCCTCCAGAGTTCATGCTCTCTCCATAACTGATTCTGCATTGTCTACTGTCTCTAAGTATTGTAATGCAGTTTTGACATCCTTTAATTCCTCTTGCACTCTTGAAACACTATCCCACTCTCTCAGGCACGGATCCACAAGGAGGGAAATGAGGGAAATTTTCCCTCCCACAATTTTTGAGTAACTATTAACTTTAACTTGTCACAAACTTTCAAACAAAAATATTTTCATATAAACATTTAAATGAATAAAATTGTATAGCAAGATGAGCTGAGTTACGCCTGCATCATTCTTCATAATCTGTTATGTGTCGCATTTGATCAAAATATTTTGAATACAAAAATTTCACTTCCAAAAATTCGTCTCTGGATCCGCCCCTCCACTCTCTGTAGGCCCTATTACTCACCTAATAACATACGAGATCCTTTTGGAAGCAGCAAGGTGCAAGTGGCTAATGAAACTGATTGCTGAGTGAAACATCCCAGGTCCGCTACTTCCACCTCAGGGGAGACTTCTTGGATTTTGACTTTTGACAGACAATATTTTTTCCAAGTTGCCTAGTGTTGAAATTTGTGGCACTGAGGCGATATATTTCTTTCTGTAGGGAATCCATTTCCAGGGTGTATTTCCTACATACTACATACAATAATATTTAAAATCTGTAATTTAGGGAAATTTTATTGTGGGATACAATAATAAATGTTAATCATGTGAGGGGTGTAATTTTAATAATGTTTGAAGACTTCTGATCTTGATAGAAAGCGAAAAGCAATGTTTTCTGGATGTAGGGAAACCGGTACAAATATGCTTACTGGGGGAATATTTGGTATGAAATCACAATGTTTACAGTTCGACCAGATGTAACTTGAAGAAGACCTTGGCAATATGTGTTACAGTTCTCTTCAGTTGTATTATTTTTTTGTAATGCAACAGATTGCTGTCCTCTATTTATCTGCCCCTAACTGAATGATGGATGTGTTTCGAATGAAGACATGAATTCTTTGGTAATAGGTTGAATCACAGTTCAGATTTCAACAGGAATTTTGTATCTCTAATTGAACCAGAACCTTTATTCCCAGTCATTTCTGAATCTGCTTCTTTAATGTTGAAACAGTCTTTATAGTTAGAACTGAGAATTAGACATTCTACCAGTTTAGACTGTAGTCAGTATATTGGGTCAGTAAAGTCTAAGAACACATTTGAGACTTTTTAACCCTTAAGTCCTCTTAAAATGTGTTTCATAATTTGATTTGTATTGATGATTGAGAGGTTACTCAACCCTCCAAACCAACATTGAACAGGTGCTGAAGTATGAATTTGGTGTGTTGAATTCAAATCTGGGAACCATTTCTCATCTTGTAGTATGCATTTTTTAGTACATGTATTGAGACCTTAGTTTTTACTTTTGAATATAGGTACCACTTTATAGAAAAGAAAAAAGTAATGTAATACTGCAGTGAAAAGTGAGTTTTTTCATCAGAAAAATGCTCTCTTGGTGTCCTTACTCTGAAAAATGTATTATTCTTGCCTATATATTGTAAATTACTTTATCAAATATGTAATATAGTCAAAATGTTCAGTGTATGGATTCTTGATAGTGAAAAATGGTTTTTTGATATTCTCTGCGAATAGCAATAGGATTAAAGTGTGTAAATTTTTTAACCAAAATTGATATTTTCTGATTGACCTGAATAATTCCATAGCCTGAATTTGAACAAGAAGCCTGAATAACATTTTCAAAATGTTCACAAAAATGCCTCCAATTTTGCGTGTGTGTGTGTGTGCACGCATTTCATTACAAAGTTGATCATTCATTAATTCATTACAAAGTTGATTTTGTTTCGAACTTGGCCGAACATCTGTAATGTTGTTGCTAGAGAATTCTTACTTCAAGAAAAAATATTCCTCAATATTAATTTACAAAACTTTTCGACACGAAATTCCTTCCTCCTCCATCGTCTTCCTCTTTGCCTACTTTCTCGTTTTCTTGCCCCTTCTTTTTCTTCTTCCTCTTCCATTTTCTTCTTTTCTTCCATTTTTCCTGTCTTTAAATAACTTTAGTTGGAGACAGTTAATTTGCACATTAGTCAGATAGGTGTGACTGAGGGTGTTACAAATAATTTCGTACTATATCTGGCTAATGTTGGCATTAGCCAGAAGGTGTAGATTAAGTAAGGAGATTGTTGAAGTAGTGGGTCATTTGTGTTAAAAAACAGTTTGGCATAAAAATGCATTGAAATCCTGTGTTGCATGTACTCAAGGTTTGATGTAAATCCCAAAGACCAGAGTCTCGTCACCAACTCTCAGATTCTTAGCAAAATGTTATTGGTGTATTTAGGTTATCCTAGGTGGTACTGTGTAAATAGAAATTAAAAACTGAATATTAGAATTGGGAACTACTTATTAAATACATTTCCAAGATCTCTATGTAGTTTTCTGAACGTGACTTGATTGGCTTGCTAGCTTTTCTTTCTTTTGTGCATGTTCATTTATCACCTCAGAAGAAATATTTTTCAAAATACTTTTGAATTCTCTTCTGACTTCCTCTAAACATTTCATAGTTTGTAGCACTTTAGATTGTCAATATCCAATATCCGTAGATTTTGTCTTGTAATATGAAGAGGACATCGGTATGCCCATAGATTATTTCAAGAGATGAGAGAATATTTTTGTATAATGTTGTATTATACTCTCAATTTTATAATAATTAAAGAAGTTTAATTTCTGATATAAATTAGAAAAGGATACATTCCATTGTACTTACCCTAACTACAAAATGCGTAAGTATTTTGCTGTTATCTAATTTATTTTGCCTTTTTTTGTAAATAGAGGCTGTTGATACAAGCTTTATGTATTTATCTAGGGAAATTAAAGGTATAATTTCTGGTGTGTTACTGGGGAATGGGGTATCCAAAAGACTCAAAATTTGCATTCACAAAATTTATGGACGGCCTCAGAACAAAAACATTATCCGCTCATTTACAAATATCACTGATAATTATTTAATTTTTTGTGTCAACTGTTGTGATAAGATATTTCTACTACCACAAACTTTGGCAGGGACAAGCATTGTATCATTTAAAGTGTCTCCGTTGCCAGTGCAAAACTGACATTTTTTGTATCCTTCTCATCTAATTAAACAACCTGAAATTAATAAACATGAAAATACTTTTAAACTTGTTGAAAACTACACTAAGCTAGTTAATTGTATCGATTGTTGTAAAGCAACCTAAATGATAATACCACAATTTCCTTTGGCCCCCCTCATGCACATTGTAAATCCTATTGGAAATCTTGACATAGGATTGCCTGTGGACTTTCTGAAAATAATACTAGTTGACTGCTGCAGCAGAAATACTGCTGAACAAAACCATTCAAAATGGTTTCAAAAAAAGTAGTATGCATACTGCTCAAAAATAAAACTTTGTGAAACACTGCTACAAATTAAATATTTTAACAAAATCGGTAAAATTAAAATATAAACTTCTGGATGTCCAAAAAATGAAAATAAATGTTGATATAAAGTTTCTTTACTTACCTAGAATATAAAAAATTGCTGCTGCGAAGCAATATATGTGAATATCATTTATTTAATGGCGGGCGGCCTCTTTCTTCTAGTCTTGTTGTTGCATAGTGTCAACTGTGTTGTTCACAGTTATGAACTGAGAATGAGTTCAGTCACTATGAATGGTAGGGCAGTATGAAAATAGAATAACATGAGCATTTTTCAATGAAAATTGAAACTGTTTCATTGCTTTTAGATTTTTCCCAACTTGCTGAATATATAAAAAACTATAGATACCTCTCACGTGGCCGGAAGGAGCATAGTTTTCTTTCAATTTCTGGATATGTTGGAAATTAGTAGTATATATTGGAAAAGTTGGAAGAATTGTACAAAAATAATGGATTCGCAAAAAAAAAAATTGTGTTCAAAGATGTCTTTGGGAAACAATTTTGAGAGATAGTGAGTTTTTGCATGGAAATAGATAAAGATGATTAACTCATAGCTAATGTAGTTTCAATTCATTTAAATAGATTAACCTGCTTGAGAAACAAATTTTACTTTTAAATTTAAGCATGAAGAAAACTGGAGCAGTTTTTGAAACAACAGAAACTCTTGCCAACAGAACTGTTGCCAACTAAAATATACAAATCTATCCATCATGTTTGTTTAATGTGTATTTGTCTTTTTTCAAGTTTGCTCGCATGAAAGTCAAAGGACAAATGTGGCTATATGGAATATACATAAACACAGAGAAGGATACTGTGTCTCCTGATTCAACTGTTAACTTCCACAATGTCAACAAAATTCTCAAAGACTCAAGTCATCAGATAACTGATAAAGCAGATAAGTGCAAAAAGTTTTTGCAGATGTACAGTGCGTATTGTGTTTCAGGCAGTTCTCAAACACTTCCAAATCCACAGAGTCTTTTAAAGGTATTTGATTCGTTATATTTGAGTCAGGGTTCTGGAGTAGGTAGTCAAGCTAAAAATGCAAGCAAATGTTTTTCTGATTATATCCCTGCATTTGCATCATTTTCCAAAAGTAAAAATGAGGGTGTTTTTGAATCCAGCTCAGTGGATACAGCAGAAAAGACTGCCACTAGTGTAGAAGCAGATGACTGTGTAAAATTTATTGTTCAAGAATTACAAAAACACATTGACAGGAAATTTTGTGAATTAGCTGCATCATTGTCATGTCAAATTGACAAAAAATTAGGTGAAATTCAGGAACGACAGGATAAAAAGCTAGATGAAATCATGCATCTTCTTCAGACTGTAAAAAATGCCTAAGTTTTTGCTAATGTAAATAAGTGACAGTAATTATTAATAATGATTATAAATGTACAAATTGTCTCAAATATATGTAAATTGTTGAAGAGTCAGAAATATAATTTGTTGAAAGATTTTGCCATTGTGTTAATCTTTATACAAGCCTAAACATGCAAAATTTATAATATGTTGAACAGAATACACTTTAGAAACAGTTCCTTTAGTGTACAAGTCTTCAAGAGTGATTGCCCATGTGAATGAATGTGGTTTATCAGTAATTTGTTTCACTTATTTTTACTTATTTAAGTAAATCATATCTTTTATCTGAGAGACTATGAGTTATGTTTAAAATTGAAAAAGTCAGAATTGACTATTGGCATACAGTTACACTAGGTACTTAATATATTGTTGTGTTTTATATTAGAGGAATATTTTAAAGTGTTTTTTGTTTCAACTAATTTCTTTCTTTATTTTATTCTCCCCCCCAATTCCAAAATGTTGGATATGTTCGTTGAAGTAATATATTGAAGTAAAGTAAAAAATGTTATTGTTAATTGATGTAAACATTTTCAATTAACTGGCTGTAATTATTCTTAGGTTTGCGGTTTGTATTTGGGATCTGTTAAAAAAAATGAATAGAATTTTGAGAAATAACTTTTATTACAAATCACATTTGTATTGGTTTGTTTCTTTGTATGTGGAAATTGTAAATTTTGAAATCATTATTTTCAGATTTAGTGTTCATTGTGAATTCATTGTCATTTTTCTAGTGTTTTATGAATTATAACTTAGCTAGCTACTATTCTCACTCCTCGGAAACAATAGTCATTGCAGTGATTGATGTACAATAAAAAAAGCAAGTGGCATGCATTTATTCAGGTGTTCTATCAATTATCTTCAGTCAATGCATTTTAAATAGAAAAAACATTCATATACCATTTGCTAATTACACATTTTACAGATATTTGAGGAGTGTTTGTAGGAAACAGTGAAAGTGTCAAAAAGAATGATTTTTCATATTTTTTGTCGGAAATGTTCTGTGTTATAATGGGTTACAATGATTCGATTTTGTTGCATTTCTTCGGCCTAACATAATTATCCGTAACTTAATCAAAATCCAATTTCTACTTTGTGCCTGCTAAGTAGCTGCTGATAAGGAACTTCAAGTTCATGAAAAGGCTTATGTGACACTAAACCTTAAATATATTTTTTGATACAAAAAGATAGAAAAGCTTATTTGTTATGATTTGTCAAAATAATTGCCAATAGAACAGGTTTAATATATGTCCATAAATAACTCCACGGGAAACAATACAAATGCCATTTACTGTGAACAGCAAGTGGTATATATTTCCCTCGCCTTTTGTGCACTCAGTATGGGGTTTACATTATTTTCTTGATTGAATTTATTTAATGTAATTATTAGTAATTGAAGAGTAAATTAGTTCCATTTTTGTGAGGAGGGAAGTAGCTTTTATAAGGAATTGAGGGGTCATGGAAAGGGTTATGTGACACCAAAGGGAAAAGATAAACCTGAAAAGACTCTAGCTTTAGCTGAGGAATGTAGTCTTCAATGTGTTCTTTAACCCTCGAATACTAACGCACTCCTATCTATAAAAAATACTTACTCTATGTAAAATTTACGTAGGTGTGTTTTAAAATTGTTATGTAAAAGAATATTATATTCCTGAAAGATAATATTTATGTTGAAATTGTATTTGGAAATAAGGAATGTTAGAAGAATTTTAATAATTAATTGTTTATTATTTGAATAATTGATGAAATATATCGTTAGTTGCCTTTTATAGAGAGTTTATTGGCAAGTAATGCACATTTTCTTCTGATGTTTACCACATATTGGTTTACTGCATTTCACACAGTACAGTCATGATCCCTGTTTTTTGAGAAATGACAATAAGTACAGTATTTCCTTGGTCCTTTGTTGGGTACAACCTCTTGTGGTTCTTTGTTCTTTTCCAGTGCTTTTTATATCACATTCTTTAGCTCCTTATTCAGACTGACTACTGAAGCTCTTTCAATTTGCCAATTACGAGTAAGTTGTTGATGTAGTTCCAGCTTAAAGTTCAATCTTGACAAATGAGTTTTATTTGAAGTACTTTTGAAGAAATTGTGGACATAAATTACACAAGAATTTACTGTTGCTCAATTCAGCATATTATAAAACATACACACTGTCCATATCCTGGTTTTATGGGAACAGTTCTTACGATTATAAAAGAAGAGCACATATCGTTTTAGAATAGAAGAATCAGCCTATGGGAACGCATATTCAAATGGCTATAAGTTATAAAGTCCTTTCATTCCAGTAAGCTATTTCCTTTTGAGATGAATGTGAGGTGCAAAGATATCCAATTTAGGTCAATGCCATGAAATCCATTAGTCTTTTTACTTTCGCACCCTAAGAAGTACTTCGTAAGAAGAGAAAGTTATGTAATCATGCAGAAATCGGCAGAAAAACTTTTAATTAAATGTAAGTCTACTTATATTGTGTGAATTGTTTTCGTTTTAAATGTACAGATAAGGCAAAATAGTTGAAAGCAAAAATTGTCAAAGCCGTCAGATACTTTCAAAAGATCTGACAATATGCATGTAGGTGCATGGCACATACAATTGCCTATTTGAAATGCAAATCTACACAGTTTTCCTTTTTTTCTTATTATTTCCTTGTTACGGAACCAATTTAAAACCATACAATACTTTTTTATGCAAAGGATATTCATATCATCTGCAACGAGAACTGTTCCTCAGTTTCTAATGGACGAGAGCATATCGTTTACTCAAAGTAGGAAGGAGACAATGCCTAAAATCGATCTCTTTGGGACCCTACGCTCAATTGGCAATGAATTGAAAAGATGAGCAGGTAATGTTTTTTCATGCCTGTATGATATTTCTACTCTTTGAAATCAGTGTTGAAGGTACGAAGATATCCAACTTAGGGCAATGCCACGAATTCCTTCTGTTTGTAAAATGTAAGTCTGTGTACATAGTGTTACTTTACATTGGAAATCCAAATAAAGGAGAATGGTTGAAAAAGTGAAACCGTGAAATGACATTTCTGGATCAAGGCAAGCCTAATACGAATAATACATAATTAACATGATAGCCAAACGTAACATGAAAATAGGGAGTGAAAGTTCCTTATACTCATTGTCATTGGCATAGCGTGATCAAATCATACGGGTAGAGAGCCACACCAAAAGACATTGTTTGAAATGGTGTCTTCCAAACATAGTTATCTTTATGATTGTAACAGGGAATCTGTCCATTAAATTTGAGTTGCCTTTACTCCGGGTGTCGTTGTTAAAGCCTGTTAAAAGAGCGACTGGTCAATTGTAAATGTGAAATGGAACAAGGGAATTTTATAAATGGTATGTATTTATTGAGAGACAAGATTTGTAATTTTCATATAAAATATATTTTTCTGGTAAAAGTAATTACATTATAAATTTTGTAGAGTTCCGTAGGGGAAACTGGAATTTCTGAATTTGGCGGAGCCTTCCTGCGCACAATGTGCAACTGTAGATCTGTAAAACGAAATAGCATGTTAAATCATTTATGATTTGCCCAGTTATAAGGTAATGAAATCGTTAATTAAAATCTGCGTACTCTCGTTAATTGAGAGCAGAAAATAATTTATCTGATGGAAAAGTTCGGCCAAAGCTTTCGGGTCTGGTGGACATCTTAATGGCGAAAAAAGTTGCGAAGCAGGCGGAACAAGTAAATACATTTTTAAACTGATGCCACTACGCTATGTGTCGTCTGCGATGGTGATATTTGTTGCGGGCATGCACAGGTGCTCATCCCGACTCGGGTTCGTTGACTGGCGTGAACT